CAGATGACGATCAAGGGATGGGAGCGAGAGACGGGGAACCTGCTGTCTGCCCGGTCGAGGCGCGTAATCACTTCGGACAGACATCTTCTACAGGCGAATTTCTGCTGGCGGGCACTGCGGCGTCGGCAGCAGCTGGTTGGGTGTCTGCAATTATCTTTCGAATGTTGTTAGTAGCCGGTCATATGTTACATACGGCTGTCGCAAACTGTCCCCAACATCAGAGTGCTCCGAGAGCGAGAGACAGTGGTGAGACAGAGAGCGATTGAGATAGCGATGAAGACGACCACATACAGAGAACCGAGGGGACTGAGTTGTGCGTCTGGCTGTCCGGAGGAGACCGGAAGTTGGACTCGTCTCCAGCTTGTTGAGTGTGCCGTAGCCAATTATCGTCACTCTGGGAAAAATGAAATCCCATTTTCCTTTTTTCTCGCCGTGCTGTCTGGGACTTTGGGGACGGTTAGCCCCATCGCAGGAGGACAATGTCCGCCAAGGCGAATAGAGGGAGCTCGCGGCCGCCACTAATAATTCTAAGAAGCCCTCGGAATCCATCCAACGATCGGAGAAAGGGGTAGAATCGCATGTATGTATTTCTTCAGCTTCATAACAAGGAGCTACCCAGTTTTGAGTCTCGATTTACCCACGAATACCGGGAGGACACTTCCTTTGGATTTCCGAATTCTGAATAGTGAACGTCGAGTTTCTCGTCACCGTCACTCTCGGCGATTAGGATATCCTGATCCTCCATCGCACGCGCCCGTCCTTGTACTTCATACGGCATGCTTCTACGAGCATCCACGGTCGAATTTTGGGCGAAGGCGCACAAGTTTCTCCAACCAAGGAAATATAATTCTATGACATCGATGGTACAGCGTGGGGACGCCGATTGAACGACGCCTGATCGTCCTCTGCGAATCACGATTTCCCGCGTATACTGTGTATTTTTCGTCCGGCTCAGAGGACCTCGGGTCTGATTGAAACTTGGCGGGCTATTAGGTGATTGGGAACACGACACGGGGCATTGATTGTCAACGCAGCCAGAGTCAACTTCTTCTCATCCCCCGGGACGAAAGTTTTTGGTAGACAGATATGAACGTGCCTGACTTGAATTGTTGGCGTCGAGGTAATAACGCCACCGTCTGATGTTCCGTCCGTCCGTCAGTCCCTTCGTTCGTACTCCCGCTCGCTCGCAATCTGAGTCCAATGGCTTCACGGCTGCGAGTTGAAACTTCGCGAGTGTCAATTATTTCTGACATGGAAGCCTCATATGCAGGGAGTCTGGAGGATGAGTCATACGGAACTCTAAAATACTTTTCCCCACTTCGGGATGCGGTCCTTCGATTCGGGGACGCGGTTGTTCTTTAAGTGGAGAAGCTGTTTCGATGAATATGATGATACTGTAAAAAGCAGCCTTGGAGTTTCCATGAGGCTCAAGCGTCAGTTGGCATTCGGGAGAGGGACTGACGCTACACGATGCACGTCGTTCAAGTCATTTGGAGAACCAGCACGAGAGCCGCAGACAGACAAGCAATCAATGCTGAGTGGCTCGGAACGCGATGAACAACGTTGCGTTTGCTTAGTCGCGGTCTCATCAGAAGGTGGGACGCTTCCAAGCTATTAGGGAAGCCGCTGCAAAGAGAGAGGGGTCTTGCGTCTTACGACAGAAACCTCATCAGGGACCGTCTGCTGAGGAATAAATAAGCTCGCTCGCTACCTCGTAGGTCTGCCTCTTTTCTTATCTGTCGATTCTTCCGCAACCCGACTGCCCGAAGATGAAGAGGAACAGGCATACGAGGGAGCGACTCATAGAGAAACTCTGCGCTGGAAGCGGTGAGACGACACATAGACGAAGAACAACTTGCTTGACTGGGGGTGGGGATAATCTAAGAACGGAAAGACAAATTTCGCCGCCCGGAGCTGACGAGCTCTGTCATTACATGAATTTCTATCGATTTTTCCTGCTGGTGGATATTCGGGTAGTCATTTCCTGGGCTTTGCAGAGGACACGAAAATTCTCGAAAATGAATCTCACGCAGAAGACTGCGTAGGTGTGAAGAGTTCACGATCATTCGCGGT